TATTCATTCGCGAACAAAAACCAAAGCTAAACACGCAGTCTGACTCAATACGTGCAAAAGTATTTATTTAAACATATACTGCACGATCTGACATGCTAAACACCAATAACAATGAACGCTCATTATTCTAATGAAGTTATCACATTTTATTTGTATATAATCTCTGAGCTACAATTTTACATCAGTTTTAACATTTTACTTGATAATGAGGTCATGCAGACTTCGAAACGTCGTAGTTTTTTACCGTTAATTTTTATTATCAAATGTATTTCTAAACATTCTCTGATTATTACCATTCAGATGGATAAATGGCCGATTTTTAGCGACTTCATGTTGTCGTTAATATCCAAGCTTTTTTAGATAGCATTTTGCTCTCTTTGTAGCAAACATCGCTACTAAAAGAGAACAACTGTTAAATTTAGTGACGGCTAGTTTCCTCTATCTTCTAGTGACATACGTTGTAGCTTGATCTTAACGCATGTTCTCTTTCAGACATTGACGAATGCAGTGAGGCTCATGCCGTTAAAATGAACAACTGCCATCTGCATGCCTCTTGCATGAATACTCAGGGCTCATACAACTGTTCTTGTAATCCTAAATATATTGGGGATGGTTATGAGTGTGAATGTACGTTTGATATCTACCATGTCATTTAAATCTTACTGTTCATGTGTCCATTAGCGGCCATATTGCTGCTTGGTAATATGCTAACTACGTTCGCTGCATCTAGAGCCGTCCTTTGATGCGTTATTGCAGAAAGAAGAATCACCAACTCAGATATTGCAATCCATATCTAACAATATTTGATTTCCCAAAGTTCCCATAGTTTTGGTCGCTAAAATGTTAGAGTTCTCAGACGTTTAAACACATCTGTAGCCGTTAATTTTAACGACTATAATCGTGTTACAATTATCATTTAACTTTGCAGCCGATCCTTGCCATGATTACAAAGATCTGAATGATAGCGATAGAAATAGCAGTATCAAAGGAAATCTAATTTTGTGTGATAAAGAACTCCCTAACGGATGGTACCGTTTTATGGGAGCTGCAGGAACAAAAATGCCAACAGCGCGTGTGGAACCAAACCACTGTGGTACAAGATTCTCAGGTTGGTTGGATGGTGTTCATCCTAGAGTAGAACATGGTGAAGTTACCATGAAAGTTTGCTTTAGTGGCCTCTATAGAAAATGTAGGGACACAACGAATATTCTGGTGAAAAACTGTGGATCTTACTATATCTACAGACATTTAGGAATACAAAGTTGTCCAAGGCGTTACTGTGGCACAGAGTAAATGCCAAGTAAATAACTTCATAAAATAAGAGGATCCCCTTGCAAAAATCAATCTGAAGGTAGACGAACTTAAAAGGTCAGTTTTTTTAAGTCTTCTTCTATTCCCCCAATAGTTCGTAAACTCGTCTGTCGGGGCTGAACTAGTATGGGACGAATTTAAAATGGAACGAATCTTTAATACCTTTAACATTGAAAAACATTTGACGTTTTTTGGTGAAGTCAGTAATTGACATTTGAGCCCTTTAGAAGGCATTTTGAAAAATGCCAAACGTGCCATTGTTCTATTCCTTAATAAAAGAAGACGAAGGAAAAAAAAAACATCAGAAAGCAATACTTAGAAGCTAGTGCCGGAGTCATATAGGACAATATTGCTAACGTTTCATTGGATATTCACTAGTCTCTCATGACCGAGAAGATACTTGAACGCTGAGCAAAAGAGGCAAACCACAAACGAGAATCTTTAGATCTCTTAATGGACCTAAGGAAGGGCTCACAATTTGGATAAATCATAGGTGAGCTACTCAGAGAAAAGTGACGATGGTTGATTTATTCGTCTTTCAAAATTGTGTAAATAGAAAAACATGGCGAGTTCAAACTAATCATTAGACAAAATTTGTACATCTCTTACTTAAGACTCTATATTTACTTTACATAAACCATTTTCAAATGGGTTTTGTCATGAATAAACACCAATGTAATTACACCCCTTCAACTAAACTTAAAAGGCTGACAAAAAATTCCAGTAACAATAAAAATGTAAAGTTTAGGCAGATGCATGCAACCGGAGCGGGTAAAAAGTGATCGATTCATAAGGGAAGTTTTTTTTTTTTTTGACATACATGTCACTGATGTAGTCGTAAATGGCGAAAGTTGACTAGCAATATGGTGAAGTAAGAAAACAAATAAGGAAAATGAGCATGAGATGGATCACTTTTGACGCTAAGTTGAAACTGTTCTACAGGTTAACTTAATCTTTACAACATTGTAATGTTTTGATAGTAATCCTACAAGAAGTTGTCCTAGCGGAAGTTCTAAGACATTGCAAAGGATCATGGATATTTGTATAGGCCATGCTTTCCGGTTGTCATGGCGGATGAATGAAGACTAGTTTCGTTTTATAGTTTAATCTGGGTTATTGCGCGGCCATCCAAGTGACATCGTTACAGACATCTCATGCCTCTTATATAGTCAATCACTGCCAGAGCATAAGGTTGGCCATAGTTAGTGGAGGGGTTGGCGGAGTGAACATGTGATTACCAAGGGGGGCAGGGAGAGAGGAGAATAAGATCTCCATACAATGTGATTGGAAAAGACAAAAATTCTTTTCAGCAGGGCAGTCGGAATTTTAAGTTCCTATTCATTTAACTTAAGAGTGTTCAGAAAATCTGGACATTTCTTATTACTTTTAAAAGTGTTCCTGTAATAAAATAGATGAATATGTAACTTAATAAATAGACAATAAAAATAAAACCTTTTGCTACTTATCACATTCGCTTAAATTATATTATCTAAATGTATACAGCAGGCGCACAAATACGCTTTTGCAAACACTGATTTACTATTACGACAAATGAGACCGATTATCCCATCGTAACCCTACTCAACGTGGTGGGAATTAAAGTGAAGTTCAATTTTCCTTCGTGCTCCCACAGCAAAAAATAATGATAAGTCTCGGTGAAAATCCTAACGAACATTAGCTATGGTCTCGCGCGCTGACTCTGACCCTGACTTGCGTATTTGACATGTTGGCTCGCAAAATAACTTATTGGAACTGGACTGGACGGTCGGCGGAAAGAGGTATTCAAACAGTTATTACAGTCTCTCTTTCCAGCTTTTTTTTCGTTTGCCTTACACCCATCATACTTCGTGCAACCACTTCTTATATCATTTCCCATGACCCAAAGCCTGGCACAGATTAACATGAGCTTAAACGACTGCTTTCGTTGGGTATGTTCACCTGCCTTTTATTATACATTTCGAGGAATTTGCTTCCAGCGACATTGCCTAAAGTGTACCCCATTGATTGCGATGAAAACAGACTTGAAATTCATGTTTCGCCGAATCGAAATAAAAAAAACGTCTGCGTCTCCTTTTGTTTGTTAACAACGCATGGTGACCCTAAAGTAAAACGGAAAACATCTGAGATGTTTTTATTCACAGACATTAAAACGTACAAAGACAAGTGTAAATTTATTGAAGTGTGCTGTTTTTGAAGAGCATGGAAATTTTGTGCATCTCACAATTACATCATGGACTGCATTAATGGCTTCCATGGCATTTTAAAGGTGAGTTGCAAACTACGAATGATTTTCTATCCCCCAATTCATTAGTGTAATTTTATTTCGTATCAAACTGCGTGGTATAATGAAATCATACACATTGAAGTCTGCTGTTTTTAAGAAATTTCTCAATCGCACTCTGGACTGCTAAGCTAAGAATAGCTTTATCCAAACTGATGACATCCCTGATTTTCTCCTCTTAACTAGGTTTCGACGCAAAAGACGTAAGAATCCCTTAATAGCAAGCTCAGAGAACTCATTTTGTATACGAAAAATGCCAATATACATGTATGGAGCAGATTAAAATTTCCCCGTCATATACAGTAGCCTGTCTTTCCCAAATCTCTTTTCAGCAACTTGTTAGGAATGAAAAATAAATTTTGACAAATGAAAAATAGTATATAAACCGAATTAGAAAATCTTGTTCAGAACATTTCAGCAGTTGTTTTCCTGACGCTGCTTCAAATTTCTTTTCTCCCGACAATTTCACTTTATCCTTATTATCAATCTATTAAAATACATCTTAGTGGTTCCACCACATCTTTTATCAATTATCAAATAAAGAGGAGCAAATATATTAATTCTTGCTTGTTTTTCAAGAAGATTTTTGCTTGGAAGGAGCTGAGTATGAAATCAAATACAAAAAAATAGATGAGGAATATATATATATATATATATATAACTAACTGCAGACAGTACTGTTTCGGCCTTCTGGGCCTCATCAGTGCAGTGCTAATGTATATACATACACTCAGTTACAAAGTATGATGCAAATCTGAGTCAAATTCACCTCGTCATTAAATTTTCTCACTAGTGCGCCAACCTACGTAATGGCTGTCTCAGTCTGGTGTGTGTTAAAAGAGGTCAGCAAGCTAACAACACCCAAAAAATGAAAAAAGCATAAGCTCCTGTTTCAAGTGCTCTCTGTGCTGTCCATTATGCGCCGGAACTACCATGATTTGAAACAAGCGCAATGCAATGCAATAAGGAAACAATTCCGTCTACTTCATGCCAGTCATTTCAAAATTTTTGTTATTTACTATTTTCAAGATCATTTGAGGTGGTCATCCACACAAAAAATCAAGTCCATTTATAAAAGTATTACTGGCTGCTCCAAAGCACGCATGAAAAGAACGATTTGCGAAAAAACAAAACGAGGCAAAACTTGTAACAAAACCACCGCTAAATCCCAAGAGGCTATACTGAGGTAATAAAAGCTCTTGTGTGTGACCTTTCAGGACGAAGTCACGTGCAGAGTCAAAAAGGGAATTTAACGCAGCTTGAACAATCGAACACACGTTGATCGGTTAAATAATTCCACAGAAATTAAGTTAAATCAATCAGAATGTTTATTGGGAGAAGCGGCGAATCAAATAGTACAAGCAAACGAGATGACAAGTGGAGGTTGTAGTTGTGTGGTTCGAACTAAAGACAAATGATTAAAAAGAAAAAGAAAAGGAAAGACTTGTTATGTAAGCTAATGCTACAACATTAATCAAGGATACCGATAATAAACACAGATCTTATAAACGAAACAAAAGGATTACAACTCAAGATATGTGATTAGACTTACTTTGATTTTGCTCCTGCGGGTAACAATCAATAGAAAAATAGCTTTGAGAACTTAAGATCGATGGCGAAAGGACGACGGATCACGTAACTCCAAAGATAAAACGAAATATTGGCTGATTAAATCAATTTCAAAGATTATATAACGAAATTTGATTCCAAGCAATCACGGCGTGAGTATTAAAGTTCAAACGTAACAAACTGATAACAAGTAATGACTAAACAAACAAAAATAAAATGTGTTGCGCAAGTAACAAAAACAACTTAGGTACCGTTAACACATCCCAGTCAAGCCTATAAAGGAGAAAAAAATGAGCTTTCTAAATGTCTTGGTAAAGCCAAAGGTGAAAGGGTTTGTGGTATGTATGTATGAAAATTATGTAATGTTAATTTGTGTTGTGAATAAATCATAATGTTACTGTCGCCTGTTATTTGTATTATTTGCATTTTGTTTTCAAGCCTACTTTCTCCTTCTTTCCCTTGAAATGGAAGTGGGGTGTTGTTGTTGTTGTTGTTTTTCTTTTTTTTCGTGTGTGGGCTTTCATTGCGTTGTGGATAGCATACGAGCTGGCGCTTATCAGCGCACGATGCAGCTCGAGCGAAAACCCTTAGCCATCATAATCAAACGAGACCACTGTTCGAGAGGTCTTGAGAGATCTGGCACTTTCCAGAAACCGCGGAGACCCCTTACATTACTCGCCCGCTCGTCTGTTCGCCCGCTCGTCCGTTCGGCCGTTCGTCCGTTCGCCCGTTCGCCCGTTCGCCCGTTCGCTCGTTCGCTCGTTCGCCCACTCAAAACTCGCAAGTTTCTTTGCTCCTGTCCCAGGACCAATGAGAGGCTGGTCGCGCAGGCTATGGATGTGGGTGGTGGAATGAGAGCGTGACAAGAGGAGGATGATAGAATGAGGTTCTGGAATCTGGATCGAGGCACAGGGAAGGTGGTTTGCTTTTGTTTAGATGTTAAACTTTGGGGGGACTTTATAAAGTTTTTGTTATTCCAGCGCATTGACTTTATTTTGCTATGGTCAATTCGGACGAACACTTTTTATTACCCTATCATGCAATCCGCATTATCTTGACCTGCTTCTCAAAGTAGCGGATGGCCGATAATTTTTGTTGTCGAGCAATAACATTAGTGACTCATCTGTATACATTGCTTTTTTCCCCGAAAAAAATTGAAAATAATCCGCATCTTCGAGCGGAATGCTTTGCTTTTTTACACCGTACAATGAAGGACACAAAATTAAACTCTTAAGTCTGTCATGTTTAAGTCAGAGGTGTTGTGTCCTGATATCTGAGAAATGTTTTTGGGCTATGCAAACTTCGTTTGGATTAAAACAGAACTTTAAATTGGAAAGATAGAAAGACTCAATAGCTCGTGGAGAAACACGCATGAGTACCGGTAGAAACAATTGTAACGGGTTACAAATTACAAACTTTACAAAATATAGCAATGATTTTCTGGTTTGGGTTAAACATTTTTAGGAAACACTTACGCTTTAAAATCAAGTTTCATGTTTGGCTTCGTCAAAAGATAAAGGAAAGAGATTTGACGCTTTATATGACTACAAGTTAAACAGGAAAGTGTTGCATTTGGTTGGTGGTCTTGCTCTACCAGTAAAAATAAGAAACGAATAAAGAATCACCAGAATTTCGGGAAAAAAAAAACTAATCAAAAAAACAGAGAATCCGATGACGGGTTTTTGCGATTGTTGTGACGGTTGACGCGGGATCATTCAAAGGTCACTTCCTTATACAGCTTATCAGGTTGAGAAAGCCCTACAGGAACACAATTAACACGTCCTACGTGCCTCAGCTCGAGGTAATTCACTCACGCATACAATTAAAAACAGTAGCATTCATTTGAGATTTTCTGTTTATCACCTAAATATTCTTTTGTTGTTGATGCTTCGTGAATATGAGTTGAAAATAAACAAAACAGCATGCAGTTATGGATACTAGAATTCTTGCGATGGTACCTCTACGGTTATGACTGTGGTGATATTGGATGGAAACAAAAGAACATCTCTATGAGGAAGTGATTGTTGCTAAACAAGCTAATTATTTATTCACCGTGGTTCAGATGATAACCCACTGCTTATTTGTTTGTCAGACAACTTCAGAGTCACCATCAATTGTGGGGTCAAGCTATCAGTTGAAGAACGAGACTTTTTCCTATTGTATACAGCTAAACTGCAGAAAAATCTGCCGAAAAACAAGAGGACTAGAATTGTTGTTTTCTATAGCAAGGGGAACTGTTCTGTTTGATATCTACCCATACATCATTATTTTCATTCTCTACGAGGTTTAACATCCTAAAATCAATGACAATTTTACTACAAGCAGCCAACGAATAACTCCAATATCTACTTAGTCATTCAAGACGCAACTGTTACAAAAGCACGGCTAAATCGTGACACTGCAACCTAGTATTAGCTGGGAAGGCAGTGGTTGTGATCTGATTCCGCATACCAAGAACAGCTGCTGAGGCACGTTTCAACAGTTATTTAACGCAGAAAACTCGTTCGAAAATTCATTTAATATCCAAACTTTTACAAACATAGAGAAAGAAAAAAAAGGTGGAGCTCGAGGTAACAGTCTCCTGACTATTGTTGTAATCGTCAACATTTTATTTAGTGGCGTCTCCATCGGGTTTCTAATTTACAAAGTAAGATCGTTAGAGGAACAGGTGTTTCAGCTTCAGAAAGACTCATCAAAGACAGGCCAGACAAGAGAACGACAAAATGAAACCTGGTATGACTTACGGCATCGAAGCAAAAGAGCTGCTGATTCTCTAGGGGAATCAAAAAGCTGCACTAGTTGCCACAATGCTTGTGTCAAATTATTTGGACTAGGAGCTTCGGCAAAGGTGAGTCTTATAACACTATTTTTGCTAAACGTGACCATCATTCTCAAGTACGACGTTGTCCAAAGTCGCAATTACAACTCCACCTTGACAGGAAACGAAATTATTCAATCTCATTATTTGCATGTTAATAAGAGAATAAAGATTTAGACNGCAGAGTTGTTTTTCAACTCTTATAGAGCCGTGATCTCGTTGCATGACAAGTTATTTTTTGGCTCAGCGGCGATAATCTCTGCATGTTGTACTATAACATTTCAAACTAGCTCTTGAGGGAAATAGAAGGCTGAACTAGTGGCAGAAATTAAGCGGAGCTTTTAATCAAGGAGAAAATTATATATTTAGTATTTTTTTAATATCACTTAGATGAATCGGACAGCAAAATTTCATTTTTATGTAAATTCCGCATCTTTCGTACTTTGTTTAGGTTACTACTAAAATAGGCAACGAAACAGATCAACAGGTCATCTGTATGAGAGGTGAGTATGAATAAGTTGTAATTGGAATAGTTTCGGATTGCATTTTCCTTAGGTAACGTGAAAAGTCATTATAATGTGCTTTAGTTTCCATGATTATATTAAAAGTCCATCGGTTTTCGTGAATGTTCAGGAATTTGCCGATTCTTGTAAAAATACGCTGATTCTGCGATATCAAATCCAAATTGCGCAAAACTCGTAAGATCAGCTGACTATTTTCATATCAACATGTGCCATGTGGAACCTTTCCGAGCAGAATCCGAAAAGACAAAAACTTACTGAACCCAATATATACAAACTAATCGAATGAGGCCTTACACTGCTGAAAAAAGTTAAATGTTTTTTAAAAAAATCCGAGCTTTCCCGGCGCCGATCAACGTCATCATCAGGAACCCAAATTGCAGTTCATCTTACTCACCTAATGATCTCCTACACGCTTTTTTGTATAATAAGCTAAGAGGACGCAAGAAAAACCATGCTCTCGTCAAGCTTGGTGATGATACTACGCGACCAGTTATCAGAACAAAAATTACATATTTTTTTCATGCAAGTAACGAAGAGTCATCATAGATCGAAATAAAAAGGAAAATCTTGGAAGTACCTAATGAATCGAGCATAGAAAGAACACGAAGGCTCATAGATTTCTCTATTTGGAAACATGAAAGTTTAAACCAGTTCATATTAATTTTACGTTTTTGTCTGTAGGAGCTCAAGGGCCGCAAGGCAAGGATGGGCCCCGGGGACGTCGGGGTCGTCCAGGGTACATTGGAAAGGCAGGAAAAAGAGGCCCTCCTGGAGAGCAAGGACTTCCAGGCCCTAAAGGAAGACCTGGAAAAGCTTTCTCTGGAAATACCTCAAAGCTAGTGGAGAATATAGGTAAGAAGAAAGCATCCAATTTCTCAATCGAAGAGGTCGATCTCGAGGGTTCATAGGTAGGCGCTAGGGTATCTCTAAACTGCGATTACAGTACTAGTGGCTGTATTTCACACTGGAGAGAGGAAGAAATCGGTTATAGATAATTCTGAGCGTAACAAGAACTCTCGACTTAATTCCGGAAATATCCGGCCCAGCAGTGATGCTGCTTACAAAATTTGTGCAGCAAAAAGGATTATTTTATTATAGTATCCACGCAATGTAAGAATACATTCTCGGTTTTCCACGGAATCATAGTTTTCCGCACCAGTCTCCTGATATCCAATAAAGAAAAGCATCACTCACCAAAAATGGGAAAAGACACGAACGTAACGTTATGTTTGTTATTTACGCACCCTATTTAGATGTACCCAAGATAACGAAGAAGCCGCTGTCCAGTGTCACAGCGAACGAAGGAAGCAGAGTCTCCTTTTCCTGCGAATCTTTAGGTTTTCCCAAACCCGAGATCACGTGGTACAAGAATAACCAAAGGATGGAAAGTAGTCATTTTAACAAAGAGACAGGGGAGATCACATTTTCAAGCATTCAGTTTAGCGATAGGGGCTCGTATAAATGCGAGGCACGCAATTTCATAGGCGTCGACTCTGCGACGGTCGAGGTCGTTGTTGAAGGTATGCGAACTTTTTAGGTTGTAGATTATTTTAATGCTTATGCGCCAGTCAATTCGAAGCTTCATCCTCCACCCCCCCGCCCCCCGCCGAACCAATCTTTAAATTGATATGGAGGTATGAGTAGCTCACTTTCGCGAGCGAGTGGCTCAAAAGAAAAGTTCTACAAAGTCTAGATTTCAAAGCTTAGTCAAATTGGAGAGAGTCAGAGTTGCTAATTTCCCTTTTAGAAAATATTGGGTGGGGCGTTTGAACACTATTTGAGACCGGGGGGGACGCGAATTTGAAGAAACCAATCTTCGAAAGTTTAAATGCCTGGGGGTTGCCCAGGGGGGGAATGTTGAAGTTCCGAATTGATCGATGCATTAAATTCAAATTGCTCTGATCATTCTATAGGGGTATGATTTGCTTTTTTATTTAGCTTTCCATCAGTTTGTTTCTACGAATATTTTAACAAATAAAACGGTTCTTGTGATGTTTTCCGGTAATCTCTTTCAGTTCAACCAAGATTTATTCAGAAGCCTGAGATATACCACCCCGGCTATGAAACTTGGGAGACGACTCTATCATGCAACATCTTTAGCTTTCCTCCGCCAAGGATACAATGGACTCGCTCGTTTCGGCCATTACCTGTTCACCGTCACGTGGTGATTGGAAAACATTTGGTGATCAAAGACACTCGGCAGGAAGACAGAGGGCCTTACATGTGTCGCGGAGAAAATCACCTGGGTCACGTATATGCACTAATCGTGCTGGTTGTCAAACCTGTCAGTAAGTGGATTAAGTACTTATGTATTCACAGAGTAAAAGATTCGTAAAGATACATTTGGAGTGACGAATAAGATTTTGACCTCCCTGTTAAAGGCTAAACAGCTGCAGCAATATTAATCAAATGCTTATTTGAACCACCTCGTAACATGTCTTCATAATTATCATTCGGTTAAGTGGTGACGATTTTCACCCTTTTCCATCTCCTTCCACCATCGCATCAATACTGGGAATCTTCGTGGACCTTTTTTAACCTTTCGATTATCATACTTCTCCTTTGTGCACTTTTCTGCATCCGTTTAAGATCAAACCTTGGTTACGAGATACGTATGCTGATAATTGCGCTGCCATATGGCAAAAACTGACTCCATGCAAATTACGTAGAACCTTGACAAGGGTCGACAAGCCTTGACATTATCGTGCTTTAGTTCTACAAAAATAGTGAAAGTGCTTTACAGCTTTCAGGTCATCTCATTCACATGCATATATAAAAAAAAAGAAACACCTCTCTTTGAATGGGCAATAATCTCTAATTCTTTTTTAAATAATTCTATTGGTATATTTTTTTAAAAAATCGTTGGCTATAGCTCAGCAGTGTTAGATCTATAATAACCCATGCGTTTCAACCGACCGTTCGGATAAGTTAATTTTTCAGATTTGTTCAGGATCAGTTCGTGTCCATCATTCGAATTTTTGATGCCGTGGGCATTGTAGCTTACATGGTCCTAAAAAGTAGCGGCTAGGGCGGATTCCTTTTAACAAGCATTTCATAATGACACGGTCTTCAGATATCTTCAGTAAGAGATAAACCAGGGATTTTCAGTTTCCTGTCCTCTTTTACTTTTAAAGCTCCTCCAGTGATCACTGCTGCACCATCTTCCTTTCTTAAGGTAAGAAACATCTTTGATAAAGTAACACTGCAATGTGCTGCCCGTGGGTCTCCCGTGCCCAGTCTGGAGTGGAGCAAGGATGGTGTGGTTATTTCAACCAACAGAACTACAAAGACTGGCGAAGAAGTGAAAGGAGAACTTGTTATTCAGCGCTTTAGTCCTTCCGACCAAGGAGTGTACAAATGTTTCCTTAAAAACTACGACAATGGAACAGCAGAAACTACTACTACACTAGGTAATATAAAACTGGTTAAAAAT